TAATTAAGGATTACTATAAATTACCTATTAAAAAATACTAAAAAATATTTAAAATAACTAAACGAATTTAATAATATTTCGACTATTTATAGCTACGTAAATACGTTAGTAATATTATTAAAAAATATAATTTATATAATAAAATAAAATTAATACGATATAAATAATATAAAAAATTATAACCTATATTACCGCTAAATAAAATATAAAAATCTATTATATTAAATTTTATAATAAAACTATTATTTTTAAAAAAACCTTTAATTAGGATTTTTTACGATAATATCCTAATATTTATAAAATAATTTACGAAATACGCTTATTTCCTCCTATATAAAAAAGCCAATAACGCAAAAGATTTAGCCTATACGTTCCTTCGGACGATAACTAATTAATATAAATTACCAAACGAAATTATTTTAAATAAAAATAAGCTCTTTATATCGAAATTCTGGAAATCATTTATTAACCAGTTAAAATGCGATTATAAGCTTTTAATAGCTTTTTATCCGCAAACTAACAAATAAATAAAACGAGCAAACCAAGTATTTAAGGAATATTTTAAATATTACGTTAATTATAAATAGGATAATTAGGTTATATTATTACCACTCGTATAATTTGCATATAATAATATAATATAAAAACCTACTAGAATATTACTATTTTACGCCAATTACGGATATAAATCCGATATTACCAAAAAACCACTAAAAAGAAAAGAATTTGCATTATACGCTATTATACGCGTCGAATAACTCAAAAATCTGCAAATAAAACTCCAAAAAACCCTTATCGCCATTTAATAAAAAATAAAACCCTAATACGATAAAAAAAAATTAAAAAACCAATTTTTAAAAAAGGAAATAAAATCTACCTTTTACGCAAAAATATTAAAATAAAACGACCAAGCGATAAACTCGATTTTAAAAAAATTTAAACCATTTAAAATCGATAAAAAAATTTCAAACGTTAATTACCGACTTAAGCTACCAAAAACCATAAAAAACTATAAAACCTTCTATATTTTACTACTCGAACTAATACCAAAAAACGCTAAAATTAACAAAATACTAAAAATAAAACCAAATTAGCAAAAATACATTATTAAAAAAATTATTAACTATAAAAAAATCGGACGCAAATACTAATTTTATATTAAATAAAAAAATTATTTACCTAAAAAAATACTTAAAAATTTAAAAAAAATATTAAAAACTATATCGCTTTTAACCAATACCTCCAGCTTTAATAAAAGGACTAAAATCTATAAAATCACTTCCGAAACCGAATACCGACTAATCGGGCTCGTTAAAAATGCCTAACGATTAAAAATCGTTTATTATAAAATATTTATAACTTTTAAAAGCAAAAAAAACCCTATTTTCCTTATTTAATTCCTTTATATTATAAGCGAATAATTCGGAATTATAAATTTTTATTTATGCTTTAATTTTCCGAATCCGAAATAACCGATTAATAGCAGCCGCTAAAAAAAATTAAAGCTTAACTATTTTTTTATAAAATTCTAAAAGGCTATTATTCGCTTTTTTTTCCTCGGTCTTTAATTTCCGCTATTAATCTAAAACCTTCCGAAATATAAAAACCACCAAAATATTATTATATTTCCGAGAAAAATACGCGATACACTTTAAATAATAAATCGATTTTTTATCCGCTATTCGGCAAAAACGCTTATTTTTAAAATAAAGCGTATACGGTATATTTATAATACGACCGTTTAATTTAATAAAATTAAAAAGCTTAATTTATTTACGAACTTTTCGTTTTTTCGTTATTTCCGATAAAAATTCTAATATAATAAGCATATATTATAAATAAAGCAAAAAGGAACGATAAAAAAAAATAAAATAACCACGGTACGTAAATATTACGACTTATTTAAGCGGCCTAAAATCTTTCGAAAATAAAAAATATAAAAAAGGAAGCTAATATTACGAATATATACCTTTATATAAAAATAAATAAATATATTAGCGCTTAAGGAAAAAAAAAAGGGCTTAGCACCGAAAGCCAAAAATAGGTTAAAACGAAAACCACCATTTTTAATAGCTATTAATCAGCTGCCTAATAAAATTATAATTTTAGCAATAATCTAAATAATTAAATTATTAAGATTATTAAATTTTATCGACTCTAAAATTATAAAATCGGCTTAATATTATAATTTAAGGGATATTAATAAAAAAATAAATAAATATATATTATAAAAAAATTTCCTATATAAATAATTATTACTTTAGTAATTAATTTAAATATTTATTTTACCTATAAATAAAGCATTTAATACGCTTTAACGACTATATTTATAAATTAGTTTAATTACCCTTACCTTCGGATATTTATTGCTTAGTACCTTTTTTCAAAACTACCGTTCCTTATTAGCATATACCCCAACACCTTTTATACTTTAGGTTTATTCTAAAAACCCGTAGTATAATCGTTATAGTTATTTAGCAAAAAAAGGCATTTAAGCGATTACGCTGCTTTAGTTATATCTTTAATTTAATCGCAAAATTTATTTTTAATAGCAAAGCTAAAGCTAAAATTAAGCGTATAATTAATAATAGCATAAGCACCGATTTTATTATTATAAAATACCGTATATAGCTTAAAGCGGGCTTATTACGCAAGATTTACGAGCTGGCTATATATATCCGAAATAGCTTATAACGCCGCAAAAAATTTCTTCGGATAGCTAAAAGGCTTTATAATAGTAAAAAATAAAGCGAATTTAAGGTTTTACCTATTATTAAAAATGCTACGCGATAAAACTCTGTATACGAAATGCTATAGCGAGCGCTGCGCTTAAAGCAAGCCTTTAATATATAGGCTATTAATTACGGGCTAAGCTATAAGCTAATTATAAATAATTAGCTAATTATTATTTAAATTAAAGGATTATTTAAATTTATTTATATTATTACCTTTAAATTTAAGGGCTATAACGCTAGGATCGATAAAATATTACCTATATTATATTATTTAATTAATTAAATTAAAATCGCATAAATTAAGTTTATATCCGAGGCTATAATTAATAAAAGTTTTATATAACTAAAAATAACCTTATAGCTAGCTAATTTATATAATAAAAAAATACGCAAATTACTTATTAAATACTAAAACGATAAGGTTAATAAACCGAATATATAGCGCTTACGTATTATTAATATAGCTAAAAAGCTAAATAATAATAACGGCTATAGGTTTATACGCTAGTTATTATAGCGAAGACTGCTTATTGCTTAAAAATATTATAATTTATTATAAAAATCCAAAATTTATTAGGTCGCATATATATTAAACCCAGCCTTTAAAATATTATAAATTAAAAAATACGATATCGAGCCGTTTTATATTAAGGATGATTTTCGCTTATAAATAAGCCGTTATAATTAAATCGTCGAAATAGCTAAAAAAGCCTATATTATATTAAAAAAATTAGTTATATTCGTTAAATAATTTCGTAAATTAACTAAATTTAAATAATACCTACGGCCGCTAGGATTTTATAATTCTAATAGCAATAAGCCTTATTTAAATAAGGTTAAAAGGTATTTAAGCTAGCCGGCGATTTAAACTAATTTACCTTTATTATAGTGGGAATAGCATAAAAAAACTTTTTACGCCTTTATTAATTAGCGTTAAATTTATATTTTATTCCCTTTATAAACGATAAAATTAAGCGGCTATTTAATAAAGGCAAGCTTAACGTAATTACGCAGCGCATAAACCTATAATTATTTACGCTTAAAGCCATTATTTACGTTAGGCATTAAGCGCGTAAATTTAACAAAAACGGATTAAAAGAAATTAAAAAGGAATAGCGCGCTATAATGCATTTAAATTAATTCGGGGAAATACGCGTTTTATATTATATTGCTTTATTATTTTAATAAAAACGCGTTAATTTAGGTGGGACCGGCTAATTTCCGGGAGATAGCTGCATTATAGCTATTAGCGCTATTTATAATGCTATAATATAGCAATTAAATAAAAGTATATTTTTAAAAAAATAGTCAATTAATCTAATTATAAAATAATAATTATAATAGCCGTAAAAATAATTATAAATATTTAAAATATAAAAACTATTAAAAATTAACGTTTTAAAAAATAATTATTAATATCCCGGGCTTTTAATTAATTCGGATTATATTCCCCGATTTGATTTTTAAATTAAATGGGCAAATAAAGCATATATTACGATTTGCTTATATATACACAAATTAAAGAAATGGAGGGGTCCGATTTGGTTTATTTTATTTATGCCCAGCCCTGCCCAGCAACTTCCAACAGCAATTGCCAATAGCGACAATCCAGCGGAGAATACCAGATAAGGCAAGGTCATTTCCCCCGCCACCCGCATCCTGTGTCTTGTACTGCTACCAAGCATGTTCCTTGGTCTTGCAGAATATAAGAGAGAGATGTCGTCGCAATATCGCTGGATCATCGTTTAGATTGTCACAACTATAAAAGGACTTCTAACTACACCTCAAGCACCTTAACCATAGCAGTCATACAAAATCGTGTTTAGCTTTGAGCCCAAGAAACACCAGCCATGGTGTTATCACAAACATAGCTAGCCGCCGAGGTGGGTATCGAGGTGGGGCAAGAAACGGCCAGGGGCTAATCTGGATTAGGCCTCGGGATCATCGTCATCCTGTAACTCCGATTCAAACGGGTACCCGACGTACAGCATATGTGCATCGGCAACTGACCGGGTGACTCAGAGGGGGAAAAAAGCCGATAGTTACCGGTACCTTGGTATCAGATATCCTGAGTCACTACATGACTCTGACGGATGGCTATCCCAAAGCATGATCATGCCGCCTCTTGTAATTTGAAGTGGCCCTTGACTCTATCAGAGCGCATGGCCATTTGCGATCACCGAGCCCTCTGGAAATGTCCTCTACCCACATAGATCCATTCAAACTTGAAGATTGGCACATCCTTTAACTGAGGACCAGCACGTGATGGCTTCTACGGATGGCCCATTCCGGGCCGTTATATACCTTCCAACAACGGAGGCGTATGATCGATGGGCTGCAGTCTACGATACCGACGGCAATTTCTTGCAGGCTCTTGATGACTTGGAAATGAGCAAACTCTTTTCCAAATTCAGAGCCGCACTAAACCCTTCAGCAAGTCCCAGAAAGCTTGTCGATCTAGGCTGTGGGACAGGTCGTAATACTGCACAGTTACTCGGGGTCGAGGACGCCACGGTTGTGGCCCTTGATGCAAGTCCTGGAATGCTAGCTGTCGCTGAAAAACGGCTGAACGATCTCGTCAAAGCAGCACAAGGCGGAGGAGCACAGTCATCGGGTCATGATAAGCTGGCAATGGGAATTTTTGATCTCTTAACTTGCGACATCCCTCCAGAAACTGCAAGACAAGCAGATGGAGTCATCAGTACCTTGGTGCTGGAGCACATTCCACTCGACACTTATTTCCGTCACGTCAGCCAAATGTTGAAACCTGATGGAGTGTTGCTACTTACAAACATGCACAGCGACATGGGCCGAATCAGTCAGGCCGGATTTGTTGACACCATGACTGGAGAAAAGGTCCGTCCCACCAGCTACGCGCATACTGTTGAGGATGTGATCACCGAGGCAAGAAGACACGGCCTGGTAGCGATCAGTGATGAAGAGACAGACAGTGCCGGGCTCATGGAAAGGGCAGTAACTGAGGAATTGGTTGAACGATTGGGCTCCCGGAGTAAAAAGTGGGTGGGAATCAACTGCTGGTTTGGCGGACTCTTAAGAAAGGTAGACGACGCATCGACGCAGATTGAAGACGGAGTATAGACGTGCGAGACGCCCACATCGTCTTATTAACAATATATTTAGGTAAACGTGGTGTTATCATGTTCAGCATCATTATCTCTATCTGGTATATTGAAGTTCTCTTCATGCTCTCGACTCTCAAACGCTCTCATACTCGTTCTTTGTGTTGCTGATTCTAAAATTCTTTTTCTTTTTTAAAAAAACAACAATGAACGCGGTGGGGAATACATCGCGGTTGTGCAATTTGTGCAGATATTGTTCACCTTTCTGGAGTCGTACACGAAGAACGCCACGGCGCAGGAAGCCAATCGCTTCGACTTCGCATATGGCTGAATCAATCACAGTCGAGGGCCGTTCATTGGTGGGAGCACAGTTCACGCTGCATGTTCCAGCCTCACGAGCAATGTGACGGTGAAAATTTTCGAGCCCCTCTTTCAAAACCTCCATCACCTTCAAATGACTCTCTATGTCCATATGATCATATCTCTGCGCCCACTTTGCTCATTGAGATGACGTCTTCTGGTGAGAGCTTTCCTGGTACTGACGTTGGCAATGCCACCGAATATCTTCTTGCGGAACTTCTAAAGGTTGTCAAGGATAAGATTGCCACTGACGATTCAGCGACCGATTGGGATCCGATTACCTTTGCATTCACGGTGCCGGTCGGCATCTTTGGTATCCTGGCCACCTTGTTTGCATTTGTTACGATCATTCAAGGCATCTTCGCGGCCAGTCCAGGGCGCAGAAAGTCCAGTCGTCGGGTCATTGGCAAATGGGCCGAGACAAGATGGACCACTGTCCTTTGGGACGAATTGCGGACTACAACCTTTGTCAAGACTCCCATTCTTCGGGCCGATTCACTGTACGAAGCGCTACAGGTTCAGATAGAGTCGTTGGGAGCAGAAACGAAAGAGTCTCTCGCACCTGTTGGAAATATTCAAGCACGTTCGAATCCAAGAGCTATGGTATCTACTGAGAAACATGTCGGCACCGGTGGCGCTACCCAAGCCAACTGGGTAAAACTTTTGGCTCAATTTCACTTGGATGACATTGAATTTCGTGAGGAAGATTTGGAGATCACTGCTACGGATCACATTCCTGATGAGCTGCGGTCCGTATACGCCTACACTGATATCCGCACCATGGTAGCTCTTGGGGCAATTGCCGGTGCGTCAAATCTAGAACCCGAGTCTGGCTCAAGTTACCCTATCTTGATTGGAACCGAGACTCAGATCGACTTTCGGCAACATCCGCTACTAGGAACGGTAGTAGCTTTCTCCCAATACGGAAAACAACGGCGTCAATTGAAGGAAATCTCTTCATACTCGGGAATGTCAAGCCGAGCCCTCATGATGGCATTACAACACAGCAATGCTGAAGTGGAATATACTCCGCCCAACGCCAACAGCAATGTATTTGGCTCACCTCGCCCCAGTGTTGATAGTATACATGTCATTAGCGCAGTCGACAGCGATGAACTGTATAAAGGAACAACACCGCAGCAAGCCAAGGAAATCATTTACGGCATCAGGGACTACAAATACTCTCGGGAATGGCACAATCACGAGGACTGTTTATGTCGCTGTGAAGGCAATTGGTATCGTTTTGCTCATCGAAACCTTTTCTGGATGTTCGTGGCAAAGGCTCCTCGCGAACCACCTCGTGTCTTTCCATCAAGCTATGTGGCAATCCGCAAATCTCTCACAACGCTCTGTCTCCAGAGCCGTTTCTGGTCTCAGCCTAGAGTCAACCAGTCTATCCACTTTCTGTACCATCCATTGTCCTCGACCGAATTGCCAGAAAGGTTTAAAGATAAGCTTGATGAGTTTCGCGGACAACTCGGCAGCTATGGAGACACCATTTGCCAGAATTGTCTACAAGTCTTGTCCGGCAATAGCGAGAGTGTGAGAGGGGCCTGGCTCCTAGAGTACTTCAATACAATACATGGCTTGCTTGAAGATCTGGACTCGACCTTGGCCATCTTGCCGATTGAAGTGGTTGGATGTCGCAAAGCGAATTTGTTTCTCACCACCTTGATTCTTCGGGAGATCAGTTGTGGGATCGAAGATGGGAATTTTAAAACGTCAAATCTGAGTTCCTGGAGGTATTTGACCTTGTCAGATACCCAGCCATTACACGAAATACACACTGCCGATGGGACCATCATGCAAGAGCACTTATATGATCTGAGACAGCTCGATATGTTTCTTTCACGAGCAAAATATCGTCAGGAAATCGAGACGTCCAGTAGCCTCTTCCTCCTCACCAATGATGGCTTGCGTAATCTGGATGCTGATCAAATACTCTCACGTCTGAAAATGATCGTAAGACAATGTGCCGCCACAGGACACTTGTTGCAAAAAATGGAGGAGGGCAAAGTATACAATGAAGATACATGGGAAAGAGACCTCTACGAAATTGTAGATGACATCATCATCTGGAAAACAATCTTGATAGGCGTCCTTTTCTGTTCTGCGCCCGACAACAGCACGATTTTCCAGTCGGCTGTCTGGAACCACGTTATTCCACTACTTTGACAGTTTCGATGCTTGCTGGCTGCGCATGGTCTCGATATTTATGAATGCAGTTCCATTTCTGCACTTTTACACAAGGAACTTCGTATATATGGCAATAATCATCTACCTTGTTTTCCGTATTTGACACTTGAAATGAGATGTATGTATTCACCTCATGCGGTCAAGAAGTCCACAATATGCTCAAACTTGGTCTGGAGACTTTACAGTGTTGTGGTCCTTCAGATACGATGTACGTGACGACAATAGGTATAAGATATTGTGCAACGATTAACAAATACCATATTTGCATCCTATACGAGATAGTCCATGATTGTGCATTGATCAGCAATTCAAGATGCAAATGCCGAGTGTAAACAGCACCATGTGAGCAGGGATCGAAGCGGAATTTCCGGAGGTTCAATCTCTGACCGCAATCTTGGCTTGAAGAATGTGGATACATCCGACACGATTTCCAACACAAGCAGTTTCACTGGGAACAAACGGCCAAGACAATCCAAGGCATGGGAAAACACTGACATGGCAATCTGATCTTGGAACTGCGAAAACAGATTGCCATGATGGATGTGCCGGGGGAAATTCCGAAGAAAGAGAGTTGCGCCGGTGCGTGGGCTGGCCTTGAGATCCGGGAAACGGGCACCAACACACCATGATTTTCTCGCTTGACGCTTCGCTTCTTTTTCCCCGCATGCTGCTGCGATGCGATGCGCGACGAGTTCAGACGGAGCGTGGAGGTGAGTGATGGGGAGGGGTTGCAATCCGTGGGGTAGCACCAAAGCATGGCTCTGGGGTTACATCCACAATGCTGCATCGTCAATCCCTGTTCGCGCCGAATACGGTCAGCCATAATCATGTTCAAGGCCTGAAATCGACACAGTCAGATCCACCCCAGAGGATTCTATCCGAGTGCTCCAGGAATCCAGATCCAATGGTGAAGCGATATTGGTGTTTGCCCGGAAAGGCCCCCGGAACCACCGAGAGAGGCTTCACACACTTGTGACCATAACGCCAAGTGTTGACGACACTAAAAAGGCGTCCCCTGTTGATCTGGACTTCGCAAGACGGCCCCGGTTGCGGGGATGACCGTTCGGATCCACGGGTTCGAGCGGAATTTCCGCTCAGCCAGTAGCCTAAGCTACTTCGTGAGGCGTCAGCAGCTAGTCGATAAAGCACTAGATCTAAGGACTACATTTGGAGCAAACCCCGGACGACTGCCCGATGCGTCGAGTCTTGTCTCTTGTGCATCAAAGGACAATTGTCAAACACATCTCACACAACACCAATCATCAGCCATGGCCCCAATACAGACCGATATCCCTCTGCAGGCTGGGCCTCAAGATCCCGAGAAGGCTGCTCTGTTCAGCACCACCGTCGTGCCGGTTGCTACGATCCCGCAGACCCCAGAGGAGCTGCTCGCAGAGTTGACACTGGAGGAGAAGGTGTCTCTCTTGTCCGGTGTTGATTTCAGAACCACTCCTGGCGTTCAGCGTCTGGGAATATCTCCTCTTTGCGTATGTATTTGATGTTTTTTGCGCCGTCAAAATCGACCCCTATTTGGATGTGGAAAAGACTAACATCTAAATAGACTAGCGATGGCATCAATGGAGTGCGGCCAGCGGCTCACGACAGTGATATGACCACAGCATGCTTTCCAAATACCACATGTTTAGCATCGACATGGGATGCCGAGCTGCTCGGAGTCATGGGCGAGCGGCTTGTGCCGGAAGCATTCGCGAAAAGCTCGCAATTTCTTCTGGGCCCTACCATTAACATTCACCGCGACGCTCGCGCGGGGCGAAACTTTGAATGCTTCAGTGAGGATCCGCTGCTTTCTGGCCAGCTTGCTGGTGCCATTGTCAACAGTGTGCAAAAGGGTGGCGTGGGATCAGTACCAAAGCACTTGGTTTGCAATGATTCCGAGTATTTGCGTCACTTTTACAATGTGGAACTGTCCGTGAATGACAGGCCAATGCGCGAGATTTACCTTGCTGCTTGGCAACATCTTCTGCGCACTAGCGACCCGGTGGGCCTCATGATGGCGTGAGTATATTTACGAGATTAAAATGTTGGAATTATACTGATATTTTGCAGTTACAACAAGGTCGATGGTGACTTCTGCTCTGAGAACAAGCCCCTGATGGACCTTGTCCGCAATGAGTGGGGATACAAGGGAATCTTCATGTCTGATTGGTTTGGTACTCACAACACAGTCGAACCTATCAAGGCAGGCCTCGACCTTGAAATGCCATTCCCAGTTTGGAGAAGGGGCAAGCTGATCGAGGCTGTCAAGTCTGGCCGCGTCACCCAGGAGGAAGTCGATGCGCGTGTGCTCAAGATGCTCGAGGTCCGTGATAGGACGAGACCGAGCCACCGCAGCGAACCCGAGTTCTCCGAGCCCAACGAAGAGACCATTAAGGTCATCCGTGACCTTGCCGCTGGAGGTATTGTGCTCTTGAAGAACGAAAACGAGACGCTCCCGGTGAAATCAGCAAAGATTGCTCTGATTGGAGAGTTTGCCAAGAAGCCCGTTGTGACTGGTGGTGGTAGCGCTTCTTGCAATCCTCAGTATCTGCTGTCTCCACATGATACCTTGAAGCAGGCGCTCAGCGGAAAGGCAGAGATTGAATACGCAGCCGGAGTCAGAACACGACGCATCATCCCCATGGCTCCCAAGGAGATTTTACTAGCAGCAAACGGCAGGCCTGGTGTGGATGTCAAGTACTTCAACGATGGAACAGAGGGGCCAGTGTTCACTGAGCAGCTGGATAAGGCTGCTGTGTGGATGTTGGGTGATGGTTACAGACCTGGCTTGGCCATTGTGGGATCTCATCTGGAAATGACGACAAAGATGACTCCACCAAGCACAGGAAAGCACACCTTGGCTGTTCGTGCAACTGGAGACTTTTCGCTCACAGTAAACGGCCAAGAGGTCTTGACCGGTAAGCAGCCAGATGTGACAACCGAGCAGACAATCTTCAACCATACTCTACTGGAGTTCCGCACCGAAGTTGAGCTCACCGGCGGCGAGCCTTGCGACATCAAGCTTCACATGAGGTCACGCGACAAGATGACTGTCAACGAGCCTACTCCTTATGCCGCCACCCTTTGTTTCGAGGAGTACTACTCGGAATCCGATGCCATTGCAGAGGCAGCCGAACTCGCCAAGAACTCTGATACTAGCATCATTTTTGCCGGACGAGATGGACAATATGAGTCGGAAGGATTTGACCTTCAGTCTATCAAGATGCCCGAGAACCAGACTGCTTTAATCAAGGCAGTTGCTGCCGCGTCAAAGAAGACCGTCCTGGTGCTGCAATCGGGCAACCCCATTGACGTCAGTGACTTTGAAGGCGACGTCGATGCAATCCTCGCCGCTCATTTCTATGGTCAGGAAGGACCTAATGCTATTGCCGATATCCTGGCTGGAAACGTCAACCCTAGTGGACGTCTGGCAACCACATGGTTCAAGTCGATTGAGGACGCGCCCAGTTTTGGCAGCTTCCCTGCCAGGAAGGAGGCCGACGGAAGTGTCACGCTCAAGTACACGGAGGGTCTGCAAATGGGCTACCGACACCCTGACGCCAGCCGCGTCAGATATCCCTTTGGACATGGATTATCATACACGACTTTCCAATACGAAGCCTTGGATGCCCGCGCGCAACAAGATGGCTCAGCTGAGCCGAAGTTGATTTGCAGCGTCAAGGTCAGCAATACCGGAAGCGTAGCTGGTCGCGAGGTGGTTCAGCTCTACGTTACACCAGCGTCAACAAGCTCGGTGTGGCGGCCACAGAAGGAGCTGAAGGGCTTCAAGAAGATACTTCTTCAACCCGGAGAGTCTAAACAGGTTGATTTCGAGGTGGATCTCAAGGTGGCATGCAGCTATTGGGACGAGGAGAAGAGGTCATGGTCGCTCGATAGTGGAGAGTATGGTGTTCTCGTAGGCAGTCTGGGCTCCAATTTCACGGTGGCCAAGTCAGAGGTCTGGAATCACTTGTAGGGTAAAACGTCTAGACTAGAATCAATTAGACCTCTTGTTTCCCACGATCTATTGCTTCCCCATGGGGTAGAACCTCGAGTGATTAAGCAACGATGCCTCGAAGCCAAGACCATACTGCACAGTGACAGATCTTTAGCAAGATGTTAGTGTCGATCCCCTGGTGGATATTCTTTTACTGGCTTTCATCTGTGTATAATTCTGAGGAGAAGCCAAGATCTGTACGTATCGAATCTGGGGTTTCCCCAGAGTTGGTGGCTGAAGCCACTTTGGGGTTGTTGGAGAAGCTATTACAAGCCAAGTTTGCTGCCATACACCTTGGCCGGCTTTGCTATGGCTTGATTGGTCGAATCTCCGGCGGAGCTCGATTGCACGCACACTAAGACGCCCGGGATTTCCGAGCCACGCAGCGGTGCAGATCCCAGATACCAAGGCGGCCCTCAGCCGAGTATTCATCATAGATAATACGGAATATTTGGAGATGTGTGTGATTTTTATCATGAATACGTCTTGGCTAATGATACTCTTTCCCCACTGACCGACAGACGCCTGCATCATTGGCAAGGCGGGCCGTCAGGTAACCGAAACGGCTTGACGTCAAACTGCTTGATCATGTTGCAGTTGCTCCTCTTTTCTGCGTTGCCGCGTCGCAGCAAATCTGCACATGTTGTTTGAGAACTCTATATACCGGATTCCCCATATCAGCTGTACCATGAAACTGCCGTAAAAGGTCAATTCATTATAGCGCAGTATTACAAATGCCAGTGTGACACTCGTGGTGATTGTCATTGGTGGCCAGGACGCGTCATTATACTCCAGGAGTCCAGGTCATACCAATGAATAAGCCACCAGCTGAACAGATAAAAATCCCAATGCGGCTACGACAGAAACTTGGTACAATCTCCACATCAATGCTCCGATATCACGCCGCACACCTATAGAGCCTGGATCCTGGCGAAGGGCGACGAAACATTTCTTTTGCAAGCTTAGGAATCCTGAGTCAGGACGGAGGCGTGCGGAGAGGAGGGACTTCCCCCGCATTTCAACAAATTTCTTGGGGGGAAACGAGTCTAGACATCCCAGACCGTTTACTAATGGGTTAGTCTGAAAAAAAAAAAGATAGCCTCAAAGATCGTGTGTGTGTGTGTGTGTGTGTGTGTGTGT